CTATCATGTATAGGCCATATATGTAAAGTTGTGAATCCGCGACTGCGCCATGCGCCTTATGCCAAAAGGTGTATTCCGAACCTGACACGCTGAATCCTTGCCGGTACTCGTATAGGGAGTACACTTTGTCACGAGATAAGACTTCCCTTGCAAGTCCTGCAAACCGTTTTTGAGCTCGCAGAACTTACAGTTCGTTGCTGCTCATTGTCAAACAGGCGAGGAATTTCTTTGTGCGGTTTTCGCAGAGCAGCTTTACGCAACATTGACAGCGATAACATCGCAAGGCGTAGCACGCAAGCAGTCACATATATTCGCCTCAAAGTTACGTAACACGAGCAGTGCTAGAGCGAGCTCTAATGCATGGCGGCAGCCCGTCGTGCAGATCTACATTTAACTTGTTTAACTGCCGCCTCCACACCCCAACCTGGTAAGGCAATCAATCCCCAAATTGCGAACTTGTCCTCGTCAGCATTTTTTGCACATGCTACCAACAGTCCTAGAGCTCAAAATCGGTTGGCAGTAGCCCGACTTGGTCAGAATGGTGGATTGCTGCTAACGCACCAACTCCAAATTGGGACCAAAACTCCCCCCGCACGGAGCAAGGAATGGAGAACGGCTTGACCAAGCTTCGGAGTTGAAGCTAGCTCTAAAAAATGCGAACGTCGACGATGGGCATCCGTCACAAAGCGCTGAAACCAATCAAAATTTGACCGATTTCATACCTACGAGATTTTACGCCACTTTACGCGATTTTACGCCACTTTACGCGATTTTACGCCACCGCTGTTTTGGTAAAAACTGCAATAAACGAACATGAATTCGCCCGAAAGCACCAACAAGGTTCGAACACCAGTCACCGATTGAACCTGGCGCCGCTCCGATTATAGTATTCAATACAAAACATACCAGTTGCATAGGACATCCGTTTGACTACAATGGTCACCGATCCAGGAGACTGAGGGGAAGAATGCAGAAGCAGAAGGTTCAGAGCTGTGCAGTTGGGATGTAGGGTCCAAGCTTAATATCCCGCATTGGGTTTGCAAGGAAGCCCTCATAAAACTAGTACACCACGTACGATTACACAGCCCCACGTACAAGTATTGTCCATCCCTCCTACCTTTTTTGTCTTTGGCATGAGATATGAACATCGCGACCGAAAGCGAAGCCGACTAGTTCAGACCTGCAAGCCTCATCCCCGCAACGCAAGAGCAAGAAGCGGTGACTGAAGACAGCGCCCAGAACTGTTGACATGCTTGCAGCCTGTGGACCTCACGCACACACACACACACAAAACAAAATTCCGCCATCGAAAGTTTTTGCGATAGTGATTGTTGTAGGTGGCTATGTTTTTCAAGTTGTGTATTCGCTGCACAATAAGGTGGTTCTCCAGCTAGCCCTTCTGAAATCGAAGGTGACGTAATATGCAGGCTGCTGCGTCGTGCGCATGCTTCTATTAGAGGGTTGATGCGTCGGTTTCGAGGGTGCTGGGTTTTTTTGTGTATCCACTATACGCTCTGGTATAGATCAAGGACTCCTGTGTGCATGGTTTTGGTTGACGCTTAACCTGATGGTTGCCCGTGCGTGCGTTTCGGTTTGGCCTCCGGCATGAGTTCAACGAAATTTAAACGGCTCAGGGACTCGAGTTGTCCAGTCGCAAACGACAAAGAAGCTGCTGTTACCTTTTTTGCAGTCGAAATCGAGCATTTCACACATGTTTTGTATGTAAATTCACAACTTTAGCAAAGTTGCTGTTTTTTTGGCTCAGTTGCATTTTTCTGCCACTGTCCTAAAGGCGCATGTTTTTTGAAAGTCGCCAGTTATTTCTGCAACTTTGGCGCTCCAGGTAGAGGCTTTCATCATCGCTTCCTTTCTCCATGGCCCTCAGCCTCTTGCTTTCCTTCTTCTTCTCTTCTGCCACAAGCTTTTCGCGGAATCGCCTCATGGAGTTCTTAGCGAACTTTCTCACAGCACCTTTCAGCTTCTTTGCTCTGTCATCGCAGCTGCTGCAGGCTTCGTCCAACCCCGTGTTGTCACACAGCATGCGATGATAAACCGCCTGCGCTATGCTGCCACGTTTGCCCCGGGCAGCCTCTCGCGCAGCCATCAGTCGCTGACGGTACGCCGTGTTGGGCACTTCTCTCCAATCATACTCGGCATTCTCCTGAGCGAGACGCCCGGCTGCTTTCCGACCCTCGCGCCTTGGGGAAACGATGGCAGCCACAACCGAGACACCCAGTGGCTCACCACCTGTGCCCTTTCCTTCCTTCACCTTTTCCTTCTTTCTCTTTTCCTTTCTTTCCTTTTCCCTCTCTTCTCTTTTCCTTTCCTTTCAATCCTTCTTGCTCTTCGAACCATATGCATGGCTTCGTTGCCATCGCGGCTTCAGAGCGCAAAGCGCCGCGGGCTACCGGGCTACTCTCTACCGACCCCTCCGCTGCCCGAACCGGCTGCGATGCGGCCCGCCTTTTCCTCCTACGTTCTCTCGACCCTTGCGCCCTGAACCTAGAACCCCTCTCTCTCTCTCTCTCTCTCTCTCGGGCATGAGGGACGGTCAAGTCCCCCGGGCGGGGTTCTCTCTCTCTCTCTTTTTCTTCCGCTGGGCTTGGAGGGCTGGTTAGGCCCTCCGGCCTCATAGGCCCCCCACCTGTTATGGCGACTTTGGGACGGCGTGAGAAAACCGGTTAGTCCCCCCAGTACGCACACACTCTCTCTCTCTCTCTCTTTCTCTCTCTTTCTCTTCTTTCTCTAGCGCACACAACAGCACAAACCCTGTCTCTGCTTGCTTGCTCTTGCTTTGGTTCTTCCTCACCTTTTGCTTCCTCCATGTTGTTCGCTCCTTTTGTCTTGCCTTGTTTAACTCCTTTTCCTTTGCCGCCTTTCTTTCCGCTTCCTTTCTCGCCTTGCTGCTGACCTTTGTGCCAACAGTCCTTTGCCCAATGGCCGGTCTTCCCGCATATGTTGCATGTGTTTCTTCTTGTTGTTGTGTCCTTTGTCTCCACCGCCTTTGCCTTTTCCTCCTTCCTGTCCTTTTCCTTTACCTTTATCTTTTCCTTTTCCTCCTTTCTTGCCTCCCTTTCCTAGACCGCCGACATCCATCGCGTCCGAATTGGAAGAATGGCCGGTACCAACCGTCAATTTTATTCCTACTCTGGTCTCTAAATACGAAGCGATTTCATCGTATACCTCTTCAAAGGTTTCCAGTCTTTGTCTGTTAAGCTGCAAATGTTTTTCCAGCTCGGTTGGACATATGCTCTCCAAGATGGAGATCTATATGTCATTGGGGAGCTCGGCTCGTCCCCCAGCTCCTCTTCTTTCTTCGTATCTTCGGACCAGTTCCATCCACTGTTCTAGGTAAGCAGACAGCTCAGAGAGCATTTGCCTTTCCGGCGTCAAGATGTGTTTCAGGAGGCTCTTCTTCCTTCCGCCCGTGGCGGGGTCATATCTCCTTGCTAGTTTCCTCCATCCTTCTAGACCGTTTCCTTTCGATATGTTCCTGATGATGGAAAACGGTTCATCCTCAAGAAGGCTTTGCAACACAGCATAGAGTTTGGCGACCTTGTTCTCGTACCCATCTATCTCTCCTTGCGTCCCGTCCGTGCCGGAAGCAGCTCGGACTTGCGCCATGCTGATTGCAGCCTCTTGTTCCTCTGCCCATTCGAGGGCTTTCTCAAGCCTGGGAAACACCTTTTCGTTTTCCACTGAAGGTAGCGTGCTTCTTCTCCTTTGAACCTGTCGGGCTTTGCAACACCTCAGTTGTCTACCAGCGTAAGTTCTTAGCCCTGGCTTCTCACAAGTTCTTCTGTCATTCTTAGTAACCAGCTCAGTCATGTGAGCTCCTTGCTCTATTCTGCTTTCCTGCACTGATTCGCGTTGTCTGCTTATCTGCAGTTCTTGCGTAAGTTCGGTCACTCTCTGGACTGACTAAGCCTTGCATCTGCTGCATAGCTAGTTGAAACTCTTCGGCGGTGGGTGTCGCCATCGCTGCAAGGAAAAACTCCTTCTACAGCACCAGGGAACTGGGCTCAAGGTTGCCTGGAAGGAGTCGACAGCTCCGCTACCATGATAAAATAATGTGTCAGACACTTTTCCTTGAGCCCGCTGCTGGCACTACTGGAGTCACTGAGCCTTGAGATTGGGCCGGGCCTGTAAATTGATGTGGCTAGATCGTACACTTAAATCGGTTACGAGGGAGAGGAGGAGTATTCGTAACGATTGAGTAATGACTCGGGGATGGACTCTGTAGCATACGATGTTCTCTTACCGAGTGCGGTACATAGATGAGAGTACCCCATTTCAAGCCAGGCTCCGAAATCCAACACCGAACCCAATCAAAGCCGACGAACCCCCATTCCCAGCTCCCAAAGATTAACACACGGCTTCTCGATTTCCATGCTAACCTTATAGCATGCGTTTCAGCATGCTCTTGGTACACTTCTCGATTTTGCACGTTAGCTGCAGACATGGGAAAGAACAATCATGTAGATGATCTTCCTCATAGTGCAGGTGTGCACTTGCAGTAAATGGAATCCTGCAGCGTTCAATGCATCGAGTGATTCTTGTGACAGCTACACCATCCCCATCAAATCCTCATTTTTTTGGAAGATGCGGCCCCAGGCTCTAGGGTTGCTATTCCAACAAAACTCGGGGTCAGACCGCTGCGGCATGCACACAACGCATAATCCTGCGTGCAACCAACTTTCAGCACACAGCGACACATGTCACTGCATGCGACCGGTTGAGAAGTAACGCAGCAACAGATCAAGCTAACAAGTTTGATAGTTGCCAGCCGAACATCGAACATTCATGGACAAATTTTGGATCTTCGATTTTCGAAGCACGGGGAACGTCCAAACAAGATCTGCTTCTGATGTGCTGTCATATTTCTTGCAAGGTGCACGAGCACATTTCAAGCTAGGGTGTGGGGAGGGGGCGTCCACATTCTACATACCAATGAAGAGGTTACCAGTAATCAAAAGCAGTGGCAGTGGTAGCCGCCCAGCCTTGATCGTCCTGATAGGCGCCCCAGCCTTCTGGCAGCACGTCAGCCATCTCAATCCTCGATTCGAGGCTGCCGAGGCTGAAGGCTACGCGGGCTACGCTCAGTGCCGGTGGCCCCGCGGCTGCGGCTCCTCCCAGTTCGGCCAGACGAAGAGGATCGAAGGATGGACGGGATCTGAAAGGCTGCGCAGGCCGCGCCTATACGCTGCGAGATGCTGCGAACAGACACATGGAGATTCTGCGAGAATTGGATGCTTTCGAAAGCAATCTCACTCACTGTTTCTGAGATGGGCCGCATGGCCCAGCCACATCAATGAAAAGAGCGAGCGGGCTCTCTACAGCAGTATGTGACGCGCTCTTTTGCGCAGTGACACGCAAATTGCTTCAGAGAGTGCATTTGCCCAGAAATTGCAATTGCCGTGCTAAAGCGGGGGCCCGGCCCCCAATTGGGGGCCTCAGGAGCCTCGGCGGCGCTTTCAGGCTCCGGTTTCGATGCGATTTTTTTGGGTGCTTGTTTGGGCAGTGCTTCAGCAAGGGCCCCCGCTCCAGCAGGGAGGCTGGCTCGGCTGGCTCTGGCGACTCAGGGCCTTGGAGGCCTCGGCCGTCTTCTGCAGCAACCTTCGACCGATCGAACGAGGGCGTCAGGGCGTCAGGGCTCGTGCTTGCGCGCTTTTCCCACCTCTGCAACCTCTCCCGAACTGTTCGAGCAGCCAGATCCAGCTCATGGTCGGGATCGGGTGCTTGGCGTGCTTCGGGTGCTGGAGCTTCTGGAGCTTCTGGCGAAGCACTCTCTCTCCAACCTGGGGCACAGAATCACAGACTGCTTCGTGGAACGTCGGATGCAGCCGCGCAGCTATCTGCTCCAGACAGGTAGGCACAGCGTAGCAAAGCCCAGAGATCTTCTCCGTCTCTCAGCTTTTCGGTCGTCGTTTTGGGTTCTGCCGCGAGCGATGGCTCGTGCCTCTCCGGCCATTGCCCGAGCTCTTGCAACGCTGGTTCAGATGCTCCCAAGTCTCGCTGTCGGCATTGTTCATGCTTCCAGACCTTCTTCGCTGGCTCCTGTGCACGGGGCTACTGCAAAGTGATCGCTAAAATGCTCTCTGTGCGCACTTTGCGAAGGAACCTCGGCCCAAGCCATCTGCACCACTGCGTGCAAGTTTGGTTGCGGAGAGGGCCAGTGGATCTGGCCGTCTGTTCCAATATAGCCTTGGATTCACCGGGTGCACTGCTTGTAGGCCTGTGCATGACTCGAGAACACGGCCATAGTTCTTGCACCATGATGATGTCGGCACCTGCTGCTTCGCCATAGAACCGTAATGTCCAAGCATACGGACAGCAACACACCAAGTGGTGCCTTGGCAGAGGGTTGCCTGGACATGTTCAGAGGCAGCTTGGCTGCTTCCCGCGTCCACGACACCCAATCCACGTGGCCTAGCTCGTGCACACTCACAGCAAAGTCGGCATGAACCGCTGCTCGCGGGCCGTCACGGGTCCCGCGCCACTGTACTTCGCTGTCCGCATCTTGAGCAAGAGCTTGTCATCCGACGGCCCTGCAGTGGGCCAGCCGGCGTACCTTCGCATTCGAGCAATGGGCAACTCTGATACGGGCACCTCCTTGCCGTCAGGTCACATGGGCAAGTCATTCGTCGGGATGTCCGTGCGCTCGTTGCTATTCCACCTGCTAGCCAACTCTAGAACACAGGTCATAGCCTCATAACCTTGGGACTTTGGAAACAAAGGCTTCATCGGACCAGGCTACTGGTGGAAGGCTTGGTTTTCTTTAGGTGCCGCTTGGCGCTTGGCTTGGCTCGGCTTGGCCCCAGGTGAGGCTCGGTTTTTGACTTGGCTTGACTCGGTCCATTGGTATGGTGGAGACATCACAGAGACAGAGACATCATGCATGCACTTTAGCAGGCTGTAAATGTACATGTGTATACTGATAATGTTGCGGCTTGGGAAGTCCAGCTTGCAGCTGCTGGCGTTGCTCTTGCAGACAGTCCCGAAGCGACGAGATGAGAATGAACTCCGACACAAGCCCAAAGGCTCCATTAGGTATATAGTGTATACTGTATGTATGTACAGTGCATCAAGACACTGCCCAAACACATGTCTATGTCTATGTCTTCGTGATTGTGATGTCTCCACTCCACCAAACCAAGCCACGTCGCACATCCACGCCAAGGCCAAGCTGTGCCAAAGCCAGGCCACGCCCAGCCCCCCCACTTAGATCCCATTCTTGCCATAAGACTTGCCATTTTCAATGGCGAAGAAGCGCCAAGCGCTGCCTCTCTGACTGGGCCTTAGCCAAGCCGAGATGCCAAGATGCTTCTGAGCGATGAACCGCATGCCTTCTTGCATTCGTCCACCTGACACTGCAATACACGACACAGTTGCTACAGGTAGTTCAATAACTTCACTAGCCGTTACCACGAGCAGCACCTGCCTCTCTGGCACAGACATTGCGACTTTGCCCCCCGACTTCGCAACGAGCCGGCAGCTTCAGGCAAATTCTAATCTTCGCTGCTGCTGTGCTCGCGGACTGCTGGACTCGATTCGCTCGCGTGCTTGTGTACCGCAGTTTTCCTCATCCGAAGGACCTTGCACAGCGGATGGACCAGATCTGCAATTCGTGCAATCGCAAAGTGCTTGGCATGCGCTTCGCATGCGCCAAGCTGGGCTCGACTCTGCGAGCAGAAGCGAACGGGCGCTTTCCGAATTATGCAGCAATTTGGGCAAGCTTTGCAGGCCTGCAGCACAGCAGCATGAACTCCTACATCGGAGAACGGAATGCAAATGCACGGCATGCTAAGCCGAAGGCATCAATCTGGGTGGTCCAACGGCTCGTACTGCTCGTGTGCATCCTGCGGCAAGCAATCAGGCTGGATAGTAGCCGCCGGGAGAGAGCAGCGGATCCTGCCAAAGCGGATTGTGCCGTCACCAGCATCGGAAGGAACAGGACCAAAACCTTGAATGGCAGCGAGCCAGAAAATCTGTCCGACCGCACTCGTGAAGCTCGTTCCCCACTTTGCTGCATTCGCTGCAGGCTCACTGCAGTCATGTTGTCACCACCAAGGCCATCCGTCAGTCGCAAGTCCGGCGACAAGCAGCGGTCCAGCCTGAAAGTGAGAGCTTTGCAACGTCAGCTTGTAGCCACGAGTTGCTGCAGATTTTGAGGCCGGTGCAGGCGGCACAGGAGCTCCGACAACCGAAGTTGCCCCGATGCCAGTCGTGGTGCCCAGCCTCATGTGCAGACGGGACTGAGGAACAGCTGCATGCGCCTGCTCAGGCTTCTCCAGGCGCCATGGCTGCTGCGATCACCAAGCTCCTTTCTCAAGATTTGGAAGCAAAAGCTAGGGAGGTGCATGCTGTCCTTGCGGAGGAAGTCAACGGCTGTCTGGCTGCTGAGGACATCCCAGATCTGCCACTACTGAAGCCACTGCTGAGAAAGGTTTCCAAGTTGTCTGAGGCCAAAGCCCCGTCGCAAGCCAAAATCAGAAATTCATCCTGAGGCTGCCTGCAACGGCGACTCTGTCAGCCCTTGGCACAAGCCGGCAGGCCGGCGCCCTAAACCGCCCCAAATCGGCCTCGGAACCACATGCACATCCGGACTGGAAGTCACCTCAGCTTCTCTCGCCTTCACGAAGAAAGGGGGCAAAGTGCAACAGCACCAGAAATAAGCTTAAGCAAGCACCATAAGCCACTAAGCATGTCGAAGCAGACGGCTACAGGGCGTCAGGCGGCTTAATAACTTTACGCCTCAACGCTTGCAGCTTACACCTGCGCGATAGCCGGGGAGTGGCAACATGCCTGAACAGGTGCTGGCTGTCGGGCCACGCTGTTTCACAGGCTCAGCTGAAGGGAGTAGTTACTGAGTTGCTGCGCATCACACTAAAAATTCCCCAAAGCACCGAGTGGGGCCGCTCGTGCTGGATGCGGCCGCGGGCTAAGCCCCGCTCGTGCGAGGGGTCAACCACCAGCTCTATGTAGAAAGGTGATCATCCACGAGCAGGGCGCTGCAATTCTATATTGTGCTGTGCGGATGACATTTCTGGCTGCAGAGACAGAGCAGCGATTCGCGGTTCAGACTGCTGGAAACGCCGTGTTTTTCGCCTCCTTGTCGATCGCTGTTCCGGTGCCGCCAATGAAGGATCCGGCCTGAAACTCATATGAGTTTAAGCTTCAAGCCATTTGGCGATTCCGGGTCATCATCTATATATATATATATATATGAAACACTATGTCACTATGCCTCAGTTGGCGAATCCGTTTCATCATGTATGTTCGACACGCCCCCTCATTTGGCGATTCGGGTTCATCATCATCTACAACAACATCGTATTATCTATATATACACACAGTTACACACATATCTTAAGCACGTCTCTTGATGTGGCGATTCCGGTTCATCATAAATCTTAAACATGCAGCCCCTCTTGGCGATTCCGGTTCACCATACATCTGAAAAACGCCACATCGTCTTGCGATTCCGGCTCCATCCCACCATATATATATATATATATATATATATATATATGAAACACGCCCTCTCATTTGGCGATTCCGGGTCATCACATATCTTACACACGACCCTTCATTTGGCGATTTGTGTCTGTCGTCATGGCAGATATTTTAAACGCGTCCCTCATTTGGCGATTCCTTTCATCATATATCTTAAACACTCCGCCTCATTTGGCGAGCCTCTGCAAATCCCCGCCCTGCCTGTAAGGACGCGAAGCCCAGGCCGCATGCATGATATCCTTCGCCATTGTTTCCCGAACGGGCTCTCTACTGGCGTTGTTGAGTTTGTGCCGAGGGGTTCATAGTTTTTGGGGCTGGTGCGCTCGTCGCGATGTTCCTTAGGGGCCTTTCTTCGTAGCTCCTTCCGCACTAGCGCCTCCCTCAGTGAGCCTCCATCCAGTTTGCGAGGCGACCCATGGCCATCGGACGGCCGAAGTCCGTACCTATGGCCTGTGGCCTTCGACGACGGCATAAGTGCAAGGTTCATTCCTTACCGCGCGACTTCGTTCGGTTCGTAGTGGGTTGCCCTGCCTAATTGGTTGGCTCTCGGGAAGCGTCGGTTGCCAGTCGGTTGCCCCTCCTTGTGCCGTGTCCGAGATACAGGCCCAGCCGCCCACCAGCGCGTTTTGGACGTGATTGAGCATCATGCCTCTTACTTTGCACGGTGTGGCGACTTCTCTCCGGACAGCTGTGGCCTTAGCGAGGAAAAATTCAGGTCTCTGCTCTCTCGGGCTCTGGAACTGCCACTCGAGGCCCGTCAAGGTTCTCTTGAGCGAGTGGACGGCCTGACGCAGCAATTATAGTTTATGAACTGCAAGTTGGGTTTGATGGTCATTCTAGGGGTTCCGCGAGGGCCCTGAATCTCCCTTCAGCTCCCACAAGCAAACCCTCTTTCCCGGCTCGGGAGGAGGGGTTTGCCTTTGAGGACTTCCCAAGTCCTGTCACTGAGTGCGCTCTTGATTCGGCCGTCACATGCAAACCCGTGCGAGCCGAACGCATCAAATGGTCGCTGCCGTCATTTGATCCGGTTCCGTTCTTAAGTGATGGTTTGTCTAAGGCCTAATTCCTTGAGCCCACTTGTTGTGGCCTTCCGCCCGCAAAACAGCCTAAGACCAAGCCTGCCAAAGTCCATTGCTCTCGTCAGGAATTGCTGCGATTGACTGCGACGTGGGATCCCCACCAGGCACTTCGTATCTTCCCTTGCTCGGAGGTTGGTCATTCAGCTGCAGTTAGGGCTCTTGCGATTACAAAGGGTTCAAGTTACGAAAGGTTAATCATAAACCCTGGGGTTGCAAATGCGCGTACGGTGTCTTACAGCCACTTCACGAAGCTGCTTTCGCCTGGATCCCACCCTTACTTCAGTAATTCTTCCTGCTGACAGCTTCTTGCGAATGTGCGCAGATGATCTACGCGAATTCTATTATACGATTCGTGTGCCGGGTGCTCGAGCCTTACGAAACTGTGTGGATGAGGTTCAGCCCACCGCCCACCATTTCCCTTGCTTTGCTTCGCATCGGCATGCCACTGAGGTGTATTTAGCCCTTAGTGCCCTCTCTATGGGCGACATACACGCCGTATAGTTTGCACAGCGTCACACTACAACGTGCTGGATACTCTTGCACATTCCGTTCGGCTCGATGAGTTCGTCGCGTATAGACTTCCATTTCTGCGCTCTCGAGCTTCTAGCGATCGACGACCACGTCTCGGCACAGATTTGCACACGCGCTGAGCTCAAGCGGAAATTGCCGTGCAGGGACACTGAAAGTTTCTGGGGCTGAGAGTGCTTACGCCTCAGTCGGGATGGTTCAGCATCCGAAATAGAGGAGACTCATACTGTACGAGACATCGGGGTGTTTGCCTCGGAGCCGCGGTCGATGGTGTTGCAGGCTTCGAAGGCCCCGCTGGTCAGGTTGAGTTCGTACGACGGTTCCACGACGATCCAAAGTGGGTCGCTGAACTTGCTCAGTCCCTCCCCTTCCGTGAGCTGCTTCGCTATCGATTCCGAAAGCGTGGCCACATCAATGCGCAGGAGCCTCGCATGTACAAGACCTGGCTGAAGGGGTGTGCAACAAGGCATTCCCGATGTAGGTTGCTAGGGTTTAAAGATAGGCGAGTTCTCTTAAGAGCCTCGGCTAAGGGTCGCTCAAGTACCCCGCCCGTTGCCTCGTGCTGCAGAGTGCTCTGCCGTATGTGCTCGGTGGCGGGCTTTACTCGGGGCGGCTGCACGTCTACTCGGGAGACAATCGAGCCCAGGATTTGTGCAGTCGAGCCCCCCTCTCGCGAGCAACATCTTTGACTCACTGACTTGGTCGCGGGTGACACTTACAGGTTCGACCTCGTCACCGCTGCAGCAAAGGCGCTCAAGCTAGCAGCGCGCTCGCTGCGGTTGTTGCTCTTGCTGGGGGGCGACATAATGTGGTCTCCTGATTATTAACCCCCCCAAACAAGAAAAATCCATAATAATGATGGCATGCTTGCGCGTTGGGGTGGAAGTTGTTTTGGGGGCCGGGGTCACAGTTGTTTGGGGGCTGGGGCTCTCAGTAGTAGTACACTAGTACAGTATCACAAAATCGTATAGTACAGTAATACAGTAGTACAGTAGTAGTAGTACAGTAATTAGTACAGTAGTACAGTAATAATACTAATAAGACAGTAGTAGTTGCAAGTTATCGCGGCCGAGCAGCTTGGGCTCTCGGCACCTATCGCCCTCTTGCACTCTCACGCCGCTCCTCTCGTCTCTAGATACGTATCCAGTATTGTTTCTATTTTTTGTTTATTTGTAATTATGAATTAAACTACATCTCTCTTAGAAGTTGTCTAATTACACTCAATCCCCCGAGGCAATGGCCACCTTCACGACGACATCTATGCCGGCTCTCTCCGAGATGGAAGAGGAGGGGCCTCTGTAAAATACGAATTAATAAACTCTAATTGCGGAATCCCCTGCAGGCGGGCTCTCTGGCCGCGGGCGACGATCTCTCGATGGCGGGAGACGTGGAGGAGGGTTCAGTGGGTTGAGGGGTGGTACTATGGTTTTGGGGGGTTTCTCTTGCCCTGCAAGGGCCTCTCTACAGCAGCGGAGCCCGGCTCTGTTGCCGGAGGTCCTCTCGGGGAGGTGGACCAGGCAGCTCTGGGAGAGCTTTTGGGGTCTAAGTAAATGGGCTTTAGTATAATAAATCATGAGGGTTTAAAGGGTTTTTGCCTGCAGGTTCTGGGCGGCCCTGCTCTCGGCGGAGGTGGCGGAGGCTCTGGTGGGGGCTCTGGCCCCTCTCCCGAATGGCTCTGGACCGCCGGGCCCACCGGCACCCGGCTCTCCTCTCGGGGATGCAACTTGTCTGGAATTCTCTTTAATTCCTTAATTATAGGGTTTAGGGGTTTAAGGGTTTAGGATATTGCTTGTATTCTCTCAACCTCCCATAATCAAGCCCTGTTTGCAGGCATGGGGCTCTGATCCGCCGGTGCTCGGCTACTACACCGGATGCCGGGTGGTGGGCCTCTCTCTGCTGGTGGTGCGCCTAGACCGTAATTACACCTTAATTAAACCGATTAAACCCTAATTAATGGTAATGAAACCTAAACCCCAAACCCTAAACCCAAACTCTCAGGAATATCTCTTCGATCTTGGTCACCTACCATCGCTCTGCCGATAGCCTCGGCGCTCTCCGCCGCAGCGGGGGACACACTCGTCTCACGTTGAGAAGGCCCTCTTCTTTGTTTAAGTATTTTTTTGGGGTTTCGCTTTGTTTCTTAATGGGGGTTTAGTTTATTTAATTACTGATTCAGTATAGAATTAAGGGACTGTAAATCAGGTGGTTGGACGCTGAGCTCTCCCGCATGTACTCTCTGCCGCACAACACCACGAACTCTTGGCAGGCGGTTTGTGTCTTCTCTAGATTTCGC